GACTAGACATTGACATTGGTGTCTGCCCACAGAGATAATTAGAATTTGGATAGGATTTAACTACCTTGCCCTGGGCTGAGTTAGAGGTTCATGTTGGGCCTGTGGCAGAAGAGAGGTACCAATTATTAAAGATGTCTGTGCCACCCCAGTGCAAGTGCTTAATAGACATGCTCTTGTCTAATCCAAAAAAAAATGTGCTAAGAATGGGTATGTATTGCTCGTGTCCCCATTTGATAGAAGAAAAAACTGAGGCTCAGAGAGGATCATCCAACTTCTCAGTAGTAGAGTCATGCTGTGGGTTAATTGCCTGTCTTACTCGGGAGCACTCTTAACCTTAATAGTGATGTTATGGTGTCAACAGTCAAGAAGCTTCAGGCTCAAGTGTCTGTATTCCTGACTTCAGCAAGTCCAGAGACGTTCAACAAACCAGAGCATCCTAAACCTCAGCCGTGCATTTGTACACTTTATTAAGAAATATGAGGGGAGCTCATAATATGAGGAAAGTACTGTTCTGGGTTCTGTTGGGAGGGACCTAGAGAGGAATAGGGTCTCTGCTGCCAACGTATGGACAACGTAGTTCAAGAGACAGGCTTATGTGCGAACATTAGAGGGAACGGTGGCTAGGTCCCAAGCCAGAACACTGGTGGTCAGATGAAGGACAAGTCCACTTTTCACATCCTGCTTCCATGGCTGTGCTCTATGTTTTGACATCCCCCATAGATCTGAGAGTAGAAGATAAGAACTGGTGAAGATATTTATTTTAAACACTGTTCTCTACATGGCAGAATATCTTTTGTTGCTGAACAATTACCTACCTAAAACCTCTGTAAGTAGTGTAGAATTAGTTGCATTTCAACAAACCTGTGTAAAATAGCAAGTTGTCTAAATGCTCTTCTCCATGGCCCATAGGTTCTCCCTCAATCTCCTTGCAATAAAAAGGCTGCCCATTATTGATTGATTGGTGGGTGTCATTACCTCATCGACTCTTCACCACAACTTTCTGGGGGAGATACAGTTATGCCCCTTTATAGCTGAGGACATGCAGGCTCAGGAAGGTGAAACCAATTTGCTCAAAGTCACACAGCTAATGAGTAACAGATTCAGGGTTCAAACCTACACCTTGGCTTCAAAGCCCATGTTCTCAATTTCCACGCACTACTGAAAATAATCCTTCCATGGGTGTGATATAATCTAATAGTTGTACAAACTTCTTTGATAGGCATTAGATGTTACCAAGAAACTACTGTGTGCTCTGAGAAAGCTTTACTTTTTAGGTATTTATGTTGAGTTAAAACCAAAACGAAAAATGAAGCAGCTCTTTAGTTTAAAAAAAAATAAATAAGTTAATCATATTTTACCATCAACCACTTAAGAAATAAATACTGTTCTCATTTATTTCTCTACCCCTACTTTTCATTCTGCTTAAATGAACTCAGCATAGATGCTTCTGTTGACTTTCTGTTTTATATGTCAGAATTTTGAGGCCTAAAATATGAAAAGTTATTTTTCTGCTGCTCCTCTCTGGGGAGATTTGCTGAAAGGAGTTGAGAATTCAACAGGCCTCAGAAGTGGAGCTGAGAAATCCAGTGTTAAAAGGAGGAATCTGTGTCCATGCCCTTCCTCAGAAAGGAAAATCAGGAGCTCAGAATACTAGTTCTTAGCCACAGATTCTTTGAGACTAAAAGACAAGACCCTTCCCTTGATTTGTCAACTATGATGTATGAACAAGAGCGCAAAGGAATCTTAAAGCCACGTACTGATGTTGCTGACAAGACCTGGAAGGAAGTGGACTGAGGAATGACAAAAGGTTCCACCCCCCTGGAGAGCCGGGAGCTCGGCTGCCTGTGGCTGGGGCTGTCCAATGGCAGGGAAGCGAGTGTGGTCGCTGTGACAGTCAGCATTCGCCACCGGCTTCCAGGCCCATCGCAGACCACTGCGTTCTGGAACGTTTGCTTAGGCTGGGTGGGCTTCTTAGCGACGGAAGTCCCTGGGGACTCGTCCCTGGGGACTCGTCCCTCTTCTGATGCTGGCTGCCTCTTGGTCGATAGAATAGACGTTACTAGATGCTATTGAACGGCACTGCCTTGAGCTCCCTCACTCTGTCCCTCCTCTTCCAAAGAAACTCAGCTTGGATCAGGACCAGGTTGGCTCTTAATCCAGCGATGCTCACGGCACCTCGGTTATCC